CCCCCCGTTAAACTACATTATGACGCCTCGGGCTGATCGGCTGCTCTAAGACGCTGGCCGGCACCTGCTTGCTCATTTACCACCTGCCCCAGCGGAGAGAAGATATCACAACATACTGCTCCTCATCTTATATTTAGAACCTCATGCCTTGAAATATCAAACCCTTTCTCTTAACATGATAGGCTCCCTACATTTCATCTCCCCCGATTCCCAAAAGGACAGGGAGGGGGGGGAGCGGTGTGCCCTTAAGCATGGATTGTCTGCTTTTTTGATATCCCGAAAAGGGGTCAAGATGTGCCTCACCGCCCTTCTCACGGGCTTAGATTGCTCTGGGCATGAAGGGCGGGAAATCTTATCTGTGTTTTTGTTTGACACGCACACTGCAGGCCGTCCTCGCCGACCTTTCCACTCTGAAGGTCATGCCGCTCATCCAGATCTTTCTATTCGCCACCGCCATCTGAGGAGAAAAGCTGCGGGATGTGAGTCGCGGTACGTACGGTAAACGCCACGTGGAGCAATAAGGGACACTTTGAAACGCCACTTTGAAATGCCATGAGTGTTATATCAAGACATCATGAAGGAAAACCGAAGCATCACATACCTCATCTCGCACTAACAGCCAAACCCCTCTTTAGCATGGATGCACCCTAAATAGTGAATACCTGCTATCATGTCATTAGATGTTATACAGTATGTAAGTATAGCCTACAAGCCGCTAAGGTGAAGCTAACCTCCTGAAGCCATACGCCCTGCAGGAAAGACGACCCTCACAGCAGTGCTGGGATCAGCTAAAGAGCTCATTAGGAGTTGCATGAAGCAGTAATTGTGTTGCAAAAGGAGAACAACATCTCAAAGCTCAGCAAATGAAGTGTTAATTAGCTCCTGTAATTTCCTCTGCTGGTTGTAACACTATTAGATACTGCTGTAGCTGATGAAGGAGCAGATTAGGCCTTAGCGTGCGGCAGTGTTGAGAGAGATAGTCAAATAAACTGGATTATATAACACTTATATGATTAGAAGCTGCTGTGTGTACACTTTATTATATTTATGAAGCATATTACTGCTTAAGGGAAATGTATCTTATTTAATGATGGTTTGTTTAATCATGCATTTAATTCCTGAATATATATGCACCTATTTTGTACAGTTTTTTATTTATTTGTATTTAAATAAAATGTCTATATTATTTACAGTATTCTATGTAGGTCAATGCCAATGTCTTTTATCCCACACATCTTCTCATCATGTATATTGCGACATCAAAAAACAATTAAAAAATATATAAAATAAACTTGTTGAACCGCTTCCTCTTGGTTATTAATTATTAATCCTTTAGCTGCTCAGACTTTGAAATGTTGGCAGCTTTTCAGTCCGTCCTGCTTCAGTACTTTGCTGCCCGACTTTCTTTGTATTGCTCTTTAATTGAAATGTTCTCCCAGCTTGTGTGACGGGGTAAATAATGGGGCAGGGTGTGCTGTATTTTGGAAGCTCGCCATAGGCATTTCTAAAGAAGTCTGAAAGGTGAGTGGCAGGTATAGCAGCATCGAGGGTTCTTGACCTTCTGCCCCTCCTCCGCCCCACTCCCACATGTAGCATCTGCTCGATCCCTCCCCCGTTGTTGGCCGCCTTCCTCCCTGCAGGCTCGTATCGAATTATGCTGTTCTTGTCTTTCGTATCTCCCTCTCTCCCCGCTGCATCTGCCACCTGTTTACCAAAGACACCCACGGCTGGCTCTTTGCAGGCCCCTCCTTTGGCCCCCAGAAGTCTGTTCCTCCTGAGACGACCATTACCTGCTGCGTTGTTTACTCTCCGAGCCCCCTCCTGGTGGCTGACATGCCGCATTGCAGAGAGATGAGACTCCTGTCCTTCATCGCTCTGAGGTTAGCTAAAGGATTTCTTGTTGATAGTAAAGAGAGCTTTAACAACTATGAGGTTTCAACCATATCAAATGGAACGCAACATAAACACAGCCGTGTGTAAAGCCTCTGGTTCACTTGTGTTTATACGGGTAACAATTGCTTACCAATAAAGGGTTATCAAGATGATCAGGAAAAGATAATTTAATTTAATTATCTGGTAACGCTCCACCTCCAGGGCTTTGTCCGAAGCATGTGTCAAGAGTCAAAATCAAGGTTGTCCAGTGTGCGACAATCTAAATCAGAAGCCAAATGAGCACCGCAAAGAGAATGGCCTGTTTCCACCACCAACCCTCAGTAGATGCAAAGCATTATGTGCATTAGGAAGAATTTAGGTGTGTCAGTACAACGTGGGGGACCTGAGAATGCAGTAATCTGTATTTAATGTCACTTTAGGCTTTACGGCAAGTAATGCAGCCTGAGTCTCTCCTGGAACAGATGTGCTGTCATTTTAATAAATGCTGCTGTCTACATAGGGTCTGTGGGATGCTTCTGTAAAGAAAATGACACATGGATGTGAATGCTGTTTTAATGTTGGTATTAAGGGGACATTCTCAGGGCCCCCAAACTCTCCGAAAAATAAATGGCAGCAGATGGCTTCTAAATTAAAGCGCTTTGCTTGATAAAGAGATTAATCCCTATTACACCGGTGTTATCCTTTTTAACATTTCTCGCGCTGTGCGTCTTGAAAAGAGACCCAAAAAAAATGCTGTCTGAAGCAGCCAATCACATTCTGCCATGTTGGGACACTCCAGCCAATCACAGCGCTCCGCCCGGAGGGAAACTTGCATTGCCTGGAGTGGGGAAGTGGAGAACAATGAAGCGGGTATCATCATCCCCATCCTCCGCGGTAAAATGACATAAAAACAACCATTAAGTGTGTCATGATTCGTGTGTTTTGCACCCGGTTCAAGACTCAATTCAAGCTCTAAACCCCCCCCCCCAAAAAAAAAGAAAAACGGTTTTGCCTATTATTCCTGCACAAAAACCGGGGTCGCATGGAAGAGATGCATGGCTGAATTTCGCTTAAAACACAAATCCCTCCGCTCATGTGTTGCATACATGCCGGCAGTAGTAGTCGTGGCCAAATTGAAAGCCCTGTCTCCCCCCCTTCCTCCCTCCCTCCTGTCCTGATGTCAAAGCAGTTTGCATACTGACTTCCGCCCCGCTCGGCTTTCCCTCCCTCTGCATCGGCCGGCGAGCAGCTGATATGACAGGAGGATACAGTATCACACCGTGAAAAGCTGACTTAAAAACTTCATGTGGAAAGTAGGCTGATGTGGCGGGTGCTCGATACAGGTGTCATAAGGATTAGGGGAAACGGAGGAGTCTTTTCTTTTTTTGATGCGATGGGATTTGCTACTTTCGTGTGAAGAGGCGGACCTATGAGACGCTCAATATGCTGAAGCTGTCCCCGGTGTTTGTATACTGTACGTGGAAGTACAGAGACTATTTTCTTCAAACTCACAGGCCTACGTAAGGATTTAACACTTGATATTATTCCTATCTCCCGGATATCTTGGGTAGAACAGCTCACTACCATTGGGTCTGTTTTTGTTTTGAGGGGATTCCTTCTGAGGCTGCATGTGCTGTGGAGCCTATTCACCACACGGTCTTTTCCCCTAGCAATATCTTTTTTATAAATTCATACAATTAGACATGGGGGTCTGGCTTGCCGTAGCTCCAAGCAGGCATTCCTCTGAAACAGCCAGTAAACGCATTAGAGGCTATTAATCTTTTTTGGAGGGGTCTTATTTCAAAGTCGTTGACCCACGATGAACTATTACTTAGTAGGTATTTTTTCGTGACAGCAATGAGTGCTAATTGTCTAGCAAATTGCCGGATTATTCTTGAAGTTCTTTATTTTTAAGGTGTCTCTTTTAATTGTGACACCCCGTATTTCTTCTGCTTAAAAAATACTATTTTTCTCTTTTTTTTTTTTTTTGACTGGCTACTGCTGGTCTGAACCTGACATTTTTTTCTTCGGGATTGCCCCAGTCATCCCCACTGTAACGGATACCTAGGCTTTCCCCTCATTTTGTTCCACCATGAGTTACATCCACAAGGTGTTGAATGTATTGCTACGTGGACTCGTCATCTATGCGGTACTGGGGTGCACTTACTCGAATGATCTACCCAGCAGCCCCCAGTCTGATGCTGCAAATGTAGCCACCACAGGTAAGCGCAGTTCATATACAAGTGTCTGCATGTAAAGTGTATCCCCCTTTTTCTCCCCTCGCTCCCTGTGGCTTTCACTGGGGAAGTCCGTGGCATGTCCTGCGCAGGCTAAATGAATAAGTGATGCATTTTCATATCACCTTTCCCCCCCCCTTCCTATCGCCCTCTGTACATTGCATTGGGAATGCATGACATGACAGGAATGCAGGATGCATCCTCACTGAGGTTATTGACTGTAATGTGCCACTAAAGATCCTGCCATAAACACATGATAACACACATTGTAGTGAGCAGCATGACGTCCATGTCACACAGGATGGCATGTCCCTAAATGCTGTTTCTGGTAATCCCAGAAGGCCACAGGTGATCCCCCTCTGCCTTTGTGCTATTGACGTAACCTAATGAGGAGGATTTCCAACCATGTGCATCTGTTTTAAACAGGCACCATTCATTCCTTTAACACATGCATGACCACTGCCCTAACATTAAGTAAATTAGGGTCGAGTCGACACATGTTTAAAAAAAAAGGTGGAGGAATCAGGATGTCTTGTGTTTTATATGTTTGATTATTTAGCATGGACAACATATTAAACTCTGGTAACAAAGGTGGAAGTTTCGCAACCTTTATAAAATATCAAGGGCATCTAAGGGTAATGTGCCCAAATGTAGGTTAAAACCACTAAATGTTTCAAAATAAAAACCAACAGGCTGTGTCTTTGTGTTACTGGACATATGCACGATTGTGATGACAGTTTATGAGCAGCGGATCTTATCAAAACCATAACTGTCTTCGTTGTGTTGCATATGGAAAACGTGTTCGATATCTGATATTAGCTGATATGTTCGTCTGTTTAGGACTATTAAGGATGATTCATTTAATGTTATTGTAAACTTGGGGTATATCTCTAGAATTTTCGGTTTTGCTTCCACAATGGAAACCACTTGTGTTTATCCATCCTTATTGCAAACATAGGTACCAACTTCAAAAGTCTGTCAAGGTATTTGTAATTACTGGTAGAAATGTAAATTGTGGATATCTATTTTTTCATGGTTGTTATTTACGCCTTTTACTTGTTTTCATGCGCTGGAGTTTTTTTTATAACTCCTCTCTCTGTTATGGCTTTTTCAGATGACTTAGCAAAACTAGTATTTAAAGGAACAGTTTGTCATTTGGGGAATTTGTTTCTATATTTTAGTTTTTGTACAAATTTTAAAAAAGTGCGATATACTAAGTGAGCGTTAGAGGTGTGGTATGGAAATGTTGTTACCTTTGGACAAAGACAGGATGGCTGTATCCCCCCCTGTTTCCTGTCTTTATGCTAAGCTATAAGCTAACTCGCTGCAGGTTTAAATAGTACAGGTACAGATAGAACATCTTGGTACGAAAGCAAATAGGTCTTTATACTTTTCCAAGAAAATCCATATTCTTACATCTCAGGATGACATTCACTTCAGTTGACCCCTCCTTCAAAATAAACGTTATGTATGACCCCCACCCCCTCCATATATAACCACTTCTTATTATATAATTGGAAATTCACTGCTAAGGTCATGTGATAACACCCTGAACTTGCTGCTCAGGGTCAATCGTTTAGCGGCATGGAGTGCAACGAAGAACAATTAAGTTAGTCAGGGTATTAGTGAAAAAAGCTTAGTCATGATGACTGTGCTGCCGTCCTTTAAGATAATGTATGCAATTGTAATGAAGATCCATATACAGCGGCTTCAACATAATCAGAGGTCAACTTGAAAATCATCCAACAAGTAGATCTACATATTTCTGATTGGCAAACAAGCACATTTTACCTGAAAGCTCAACCATCTCCATGACGACGGGACAAACTCCTCAGACAAAAGGAGGATGAAAGTGCGATTTGTGAGACATTTACCTGCAGCAAATACCCTTCACTTTCCTCCGCGGCAGAATGTCAAGCATGAGTCAGACAGGGTGTCACACATGCAAATATTAGCATTCACCAGAGCTACATTTCAATTGCTACTTTCAAGTGTGTTTTTGGACTCTTTTTTGCACGCTGGGGTGTGTTTACTGGGGTGTGTTTACTGGGGTGTGTTTACACAGCCAGACCAACACTTCTCTCCTGTGACTAAAGACACAGAGTAAATGGAGGCAGATTTATATATTTAAGTTTATCTAACAGATCTACCCCTGCCTGTCTGTTAAGGAGAACATAATAAACCTCGTCCCAGAGAGCTCCTTAAAATAAACCAGGTCTACACAGTGTATTGATTAATAAGGGACACTTTTACACAACAACTCCACAGTGTAACAACAAGCCACGGGACGACGTCTCCCTGCGAACAATGAGCTGCAGTGAATGCAGGGATAGTGGTGACTTAATACAGTGTCAGTAAACATGACCGCAGCGTGGAGAGGTCAGCTGGCCTTTCACTGGTGTTGGCGTAAGGCAAGGAAATCACAAGTCTGTGTGTGCAGAGTTCGCTTTTTAGATTAACTAGAGCTTTGTGTTTTGTAGGTTTCTGTGTTTTCAAACATTAGTATGTAATGCCACAGAAACCACAACACCTCTTAGTGTTTTTGGTTTTGTTCTAATGCTCTTGGTGCTGTGTCTGTGTTGGCTCTTATCCCCACAATCCATTTTGGTATTATTTAGGTTTAAAGCAAGAATTTAACTTTTTAGAGACTGGTACAAATACAACTTGAATTGATTGGAAATAAGACGCTCCATTGCTCAAGGCATTTTTGTTGCTACAGACTTAGTTGCCTTGGTAAGACCACTAGCTTTTGGTTGCTAATGTTAGCTTACTTAAATGTTCCTATACAACATACATTACTTTGTGAATTGCCCTACTATCTCCACTTATGCTGTATTTCAGCATGTAAGCTAAGGTTAGCATGTAGCATTATCACTTACATAATATAACTTCAATGATATGATTCATCAACTTATTCTAGGATGTTTGCACATATAAAAATAGGGTTACATTATGAGTGATGCTTGTCTTTTTGACTAATATCTCCTGCAGGCACACACACACACACACACACACACACACACACACACACACACACACACACACACACACACAGTTTGTGCCTGACATTTCCACGTACTTTGAGTAATTATAAAAATATGTATTGTCCCGGTACTCGAGGTTAGTGACGAGGCTGTTGTTATGGAAGCACTTTAGGGTTCAAAGCTGCCATTTAGCACGCTGTGGGCGGGGAGGGGGTGCGACCTGGGGGGGTTGGGTTTAACATTTGGTGGGTCAGGCAGCTCCTTTGGGATTAGAGATCTTCAAAAGACCGGGGCAATTCAAGAGAAACTGGGATTTAGTGTTAATATGAAGCATGGTGAAGGATGATTACATAAGTGTAGAATTTGTCATATTTAGGCACCTTTGACAAGAAATAAGATGTGTTGGACATGAAAAGCTTAGCATTTCAATATACAATGTGAAATTGACGTACTAATATCGCTTGAGATTAATCCTTTTGGTCTTATAATACGTTTTTTTCTGATAGATAATTGTATAACCCAATAGTTGTCAGTCATTTCTGCAACCAGCTGTCACATACTACCCAACAACTGTATTGCGAGACATGTCATTTTAAACAAGAAGATGAATTGGCTGGTTTTTGTATTTTCCAGGAACTTATTTTTCCTCAGAAGCTAAAGAAAGTTGAATCAGGTGGTGAGGGTATACTAATTGATTTCATTGTAACACACGATTTAAAATGAATTTTGCGGTATAGTTGTTTTTGGGCCTTTTTGTTAAACTCATTTCACAGCCTGTTGGAGGTGGAGTAACGTGACGCGTTTCAGATCTTTGTCTTAACCACGGAAACTTGTTTGTCATTGTTGGTCTTTTCAACTGTGCAGGGTTCCACATGCGTTAAATGTAATTTCCCTTGCATGCACTGCACTTTTTCTTGTAAAACATGGGCCAAATTCAGAGTAGATGTAAACAGTAGGAATCTTAAATCATCTCCTTGCACCCTGAGAGATAAAGGTGTTGCAGCAGAAAGGCAAAAAGAGGTATTTGTAAAAGGATGGTTGAGTGGCAATGTGAACGTGGTCTTCCCCTCGTTTTAATTGTGTATTTACTTGTTTGGCGTTTCAACAAACAAAGCCCTTTCCTGTGACAACAAGGAACATCCAGTGCTCCAGTGATATGCCTTCTGGATGATAGTTGTCTCAGATACATGGGCCCCATTTACTGAAGCTTTATATAACTCTCAGATACAGAAACGACCCGCTGTAGGTTAAATTACACCGATTCAAACGCAGTAAAACAAACATGAGTATATCTCTCTAGCGCTCTACTTGTCACGCACAGCATTCATACATGAGATTTAACTCTGTCGCTAAGATTTCATGCAGGGATGGTCACAGTTTCCGGAGCTAAATTAGAGGTGACATTGGCTCCCTCAGAACAGAGTGCCTGCCCTAATGAAAAGGATTTGTTTGGAAAGGAGGTTCAACATTTGTTTATCTCGCCACTGCTAGCTTAAGTACTGCGGGGAGCTCAGGCATTTGCATTTTGTGATACTTCCGTCGCTGCCTCCTGGCCCGCGCTATATCAAAGTAACACACACACGCCTGAGGAAAGCCAGGCTTTGTAACTTACTGCGGTGTTGGAGCTCAGAAGGACTTTTGGGTTCGCTCTGGGGTTTAGCAGTGACAGAGTGTCAGGGCGAACGTGGAGCGAGTCATAATGTCCTGGTTCTGTAGAGCCATTTCCTTTCCCTCAATAGAACAGATTGTTCTGAAGAGTTCCTTATGAGACAACAAATGTCAAACTTCAAAACTGTGCTCCCAACCTTGAGGAAGTACTTATAAAAGAAGTGAGCTAAATGCATGAAGACTAAATTGACCATTTAAATTGAATGCTTAATTGTAGTGATACAACGTTTTTTTGTTTTAGCGCCTTTCAGCTTGTTTTGGTTTTACGCAAGGGGTGTAACGGTTCACAGAGTTCACGGTTCGGTACGTACCTCGGTTTGGGGGTCAAGGTTT